TTCCAGAAATGCTTTTCCAGAAAAACTCCTCCATTCTGGAATGCTTTTCCAGAAAAACTCTTTCCTTCTGGAATGCTTTTCCCAAAGGCAATAGTTCAAAGCCAACCTCTGTTAATGGGAACTCCAATATCTGCAGAATTCTCTGGACAGGAAGATTCATTCTACTACTCCTACAGTGATACCAGAAACTGAGACATAATCACTCCCACTCCAGTCACCAGGAAGTCAAGTTCAGCAATGTGGTCTCTATGCGGAAGGCTTCTATACCCACACTGAGAGGATCACCCCACATAAACAACCCGACCACAGACTGTCGAGAGACATACTTCCTTATTGCAAGGATCCTTCCCTGTTAACCTCCTCCCAAAAGGGAAAAGAAAAAAAATTTTTTTTTTCACCAAAACTCAATGTAACAAAATGAGACTAAATATAATATCAAAATCAAATAAATTAGATGCACTACCAGCTTATTAGGCCCTGGACATATTTACAAATGTGACATAAAAATTACACACTCCTTGCTATCAGGGCTCACAAGTCATAATTTGCAGCAACATAACAATCTATTTTCTATCTTTAAGTATCTTTACTGATTTCCTTCTTCTTTACACCTTTTATGCATTTTGGAGCAAAGAGAAGGCAAGGGGTTTGGAAGAGATAAGAGAGAAAAAAAATTGAGGAGAGAAAAGAAGAGAGATTTGGAAAGAGAATCAGCAGTCGTGAGACAAGGAGCAGGGCACACAGGAGAGAGAGGGGTAAGAGAGCCTTTTTTCACATCTTCAATCTGGTCCATAAAGATGTTCCACCCATCAACCCTGGAGAAAGCACCCAGCATCAGGATGTCAAACTGTTCTCTGAGCATTAAAACATATGTAATGTGCTTCACAGACAATACAGAAATGACAGAAATGGAGAGTTAAGCATATAATTATAATATAAAAATGAACATGCTTTGGCGTGGTGGATTTTAATAATATTGGTAAGGAGCGCCAAATTACAAAATGCATTAGAACATGGAGTACAAAAACTCAGAGACAAAAAAAAAAACTCATGAAAATATAAGAGCACTTTAAAAATGGTAATAATCTTTAGGATAAAGAAATCCTTTCTAAACAACGGTACTGAGCATGTTTAATAAAAATTAAATGAGAATAAAGACAAGGCACACGGCCACAACTCCCCAGATCCCAGTGATTAGGAAGGTGAGCTGTGTGTCGATACAGGCACGGCCAGGAGCATGAATGAGCTCCCACCACTGGATAGATCTGGAATACCCCGCCTCGAGGCAGGCTGAATTTCCTCACATTTCACCTACAGGAAGGAATGTATTTACTCTGTGGTTGTAGAGCGGCCTTGGAAATGCACAGTGTTGGCAGGTGGGGGAACGTGGCGACACACTTACACGTGGTGGAAGAAGCAGGGGCACGCCCCCCCCATCCACAGCACCCCTATTACAGTCACAGCACCCCCGTCACAGCCACAGCAGGGCGTGGTCTTGGGGGCGACACGGGGAGACAGGCTGTCTCCTCCGGGAATAATTCATTATTCAGATAAACTAACGGAAGAGCTCTGTGTGACCAACAAACCAAAAACAAGAAGCAAAAGCAACAGGGGTCCCCCCGCAGAGGGACAACGTGCCACTGCTCTGCGGGTAGCTGCACAGCAGGTGGCAGGACAGCAGAAGCAGAGAAAGTATGGGGGTTCAGTGATGCTCATCATCCATCAGGACGGATGAGCCATCCTATCTAGGTTTTTCAAGCGGGTCGGTGAGGATTACCCTCAACTCTCTAAAGCAAAAATACTTTCATGCTACTGTCATGTGGGTCCTATTTATTTTCCCAAGGGCACTTCGTATTATGCTTCATTTGGGCCAGATGTTCACATCAGTATGTCTGCTCCTCTCGCTAGGAACACAACAGCAATTATTTATTTGTCCTTCCAGCATATGTAGCAGCGAAGAGCAGCTGTGAGATGCAGCGGACGACAGAGCCACCAGCATTCCAGCCAACCAGGAGACAGAAGAGAGGACCCCACTCCAGCCCTACACGACAGGCCATCTCCAGGCTCCTTTATTTTAAACCCTAAATCAATAGTTTTAAACAGATGCAGATTCCAAGTGACAGGAGAGACAGTCAGGAAGATTTGAGGCTTTAGACTCTTTAGATGTCTACTTCTGCTGCGCGGGCTATTAAAAAGTTGTGTGTAACTTCAAGATGAAAGGCGTTAGCAGTTTCTTAGAACAGGATAATCCCAATCTTCTGGAGATTTAATGAGATGTAACTCACTGAGGCTTCTGACTCGGTCTGCTGTTAATTGAATCAAAGTCAATGACAATCTTGTTGCAATTTGGTGTGAATTTCCTAAACATAAGAAACAAAACATATAAAGACATTATCCAGTGAGTAGTGAAAGCAATTTGTTTACTTTGGCTTAACCTACATTTTCTGTGGGGAGGAAAAAATTTCCTGGAATTCACTTGATATTTTTTCTTTACAGAAGCCAATTAGAGTGCATCATACTAAGAGAAACATGGGCCAGAAAAGACGAAGACGAGAAAAGATGCGTGGGGTGGATTGGTGCGAACGTTCTCCAGCTAGCTGAGTTCACAAATTATTGGGGAGTCAGAGGGTTTCTAACAAGTTAGCTGCACAACATGACATCTGATTACTAGTTTTCCCACCAGATTGATCTTATTTTCTAGGAAATTTCTGCAGCCCACTTGGAAATCACTCTAAAGCAAAGAAGAGTAAGAAAACTTACTCTTGTACATGCCTCTTGTACATTACATAGCAAAAACTGGCTAGCTTTAGTGAGGAGCAATTTTTTAAATCATGTTGTAAAAATGCAGAAGTAAAATAAACCCACTACATTTTTTTACTTATTCACATACCTTCTAAAACAGTTAAAAAGAAAATACTTGAGGACTAAACATATTATTTTAAAAATCAGTAAACAGTAAATATCTAATTCTTATTACATAAATAATTTGGAGTTCAAGTCTTATAAGGTACAGCAGTTAAGAGATCCATTACATATGACCTACACCCCTAATGATGAATACAAGGAGATGATAAGAACCCCACTGCTGACCACAAATATTGTCAAGGAACTGCTTTCAAAGCTTTCACAGTCTCAAAAGAAGTTTCCACCATGAATCAAAGGTGGTTGAACTTACCTGCAAGTAAAACACACCTCCCAATCTCTGCCTATCAAAGATAATCATAAAAATCTAAATGACTTCAAATCTCAATTTAAAACATTGCTGTAAAAAGAATTCCTGGCGTTTCAACCTGGCAGGTTACTTTCATCCTAAATTTTCTATGCCAGAGTTGTTACATTTGCAAAATTTACAAAGGTTTAATGTTAATATTATAAAACTTGTGAATTTTCAAATTTCTTGCTACTAGAATAATTAGTCCAAGCTCTGGAAAGCTACTAATATGAAAGTGCAATCATTAGACGGATTGTCTTCAGATACTTCTGTCACTGCTCTTAAAAATCTACCCCTAAAATAATCTTTAGATCCTTAGCCCATCACATTTAAAAAGATGCTTCCAAGTGTGGAAGGCAGGCGTCACAAGGAGAAATGAAACATCAGACAAGGTCAAGTCTATTTCTTCATACACCTTCCCCCCAAGTTGTTCCTACTTACCTGAAAGTGACCCCAGCCATATCGAACATGAGCCTCGCAGCCGTTGTCTCATCACTATCATGGTATTTATCAGACATGAAAATAACTTCTTTTATACCTTAAAAGGCAACAATACGCACCCCGTTACTATACGCACATAGAGATACTGCAACAGACATGCCGAAGCAGCCCTGGTAGTGTCTATGATTAATCACCTTTTCCCAGTGTGCTTGCACACAACGTCCAGTTATGGAAGTATATATCTGCTGCTTTCGAATACAGCAAAGACGGATTATATTTAATCTGCCCTCCAGTCTTTATGGATTTTTTTTTTTTAACAAATGTGAAGTGAAAACACGTCAAGTAGTCGAGCCTTGATCCGATTAACAAATTTTCTTTACTGTGGGCAATCAAATATTCTTGATTCACTAGGGGACGACTCTTAATTCAAGAGGCTAATAGGGGGAGTGGAAAGTGCTGGCAAAATCAGAGATAAGTACCACCGTGCTTCCAAGAACGGCTCTGCAGACTGTCTTAAGCCAGCTCCACAGACAGCAGATCTGTTTTCTTTTCCTGCCTCACCAGGCGGTGCTAACTTGAGGGCCAAGAAGCTCGAAGCACCACTACCAGCCTCTGAGGGGGCCACGGGAAGCTGGCCTGGCAGGACACACGCTGTTCTTCCCACCTGCCTGCTGCCGCCTCTGCACTTAACGACAGGGGAGGAAAACTCCCGAAGGATCGGGCGCCACCAGGGAGGGAACCCACGATATTCCTTAAGGGAGGCCTTTGATTCAGTACTGCCGGACCTCTTCTGCTCAGAGATCCAGGGGCTCGACATAAACAACCGCTTGAAACCACACACCTGGCTAACATGATAAGTCTTTAAATCTCAAGCCAAGAGTTTTATGGCGCTCAAGTGTACCTGAATCTTAGATGTGACAGTTTGAAAAAGGTGAAATATTCAGAATATAATGGTGTAGATTTATATGGTAACCATCACGTAAGAAAAACTTAAAGTACTACCATTTGAGTCTTATGACATTTATATGCAAAGATACATTTAGGTCCTCAGATATCTACCATATATTAGATACAAATTAAAATTTCATATACAGACTCCCAGTTGACCTTGTTTGACAGAAGTTCATTTCTCTGCCTCCCCTCCCAATCTATGCACAATATGTCAGAGAACAGTAAATTGACAGTAATTATATGCAACGCCAGTGTTGTCTTTTGGCAGCTTGCAGTTTAAGAAGTTGCAAACTAAATTAAAAACATGCTAAGAATCACAGAGGATGCAATTAGTCTTAGAATACCTGGCACCATTCAAAAACAAAACATGGGAAGTATCTTGCAAAGTTGATAGTGCAATTAATTTAGATCTAAACAATAGCACGTTAAGATCAAACACATCCGAAATGAGCTACTAAAGAGCAGGCAGCAATGCAAATGTGACAAATGGAAGCAGGCCGGTTCCTACCTGCCTGGATGATGAGCTTAGCACATTCATTACATGGGAACAAGGCGACATACATGGTACAGCCCTTCACATCGGCCGAGTTTTTGTTCATGATGGCATTGAGCTCAGCGTGGCACACTGCGGGTTGGAAAGAGAAAGAAAGAAAAACAGATTGTAGCTCATGAAGAATTTACTATCAGTGTTGAAGCATTCCATTTGCCCCTTTGAAATAACACATATAATAGACTCAATTAAAAAAAATTTGATTAGGGCAGGCCTGGTGGCGTAGTGGTTAAGTTCGCGTGCTCGGCTTCGGCAGTCTGGGGTTTGCAGGTTTGGATCCCAGGCGTGGACCTACACACCGCTCATCAAGCCACGCTGTGGCAGCGTCCCACACATAAAATGGAGGAAGATGGGCACAGATGTTAGGCCAGGGCCAATCTTCCTCAGCAACAAGAGCGGGATTGGCAATGGATGTTAGCTCTGGGCTAATCTTCCTCACCAAAAAAAAAAAAAATTTGCTTAGAAATGGAAAATACAATACCAAATGACAACCACGTGGTCCAACAGGTTGGCAACTCAAGGCAAAACCATTCACGGCAGCAGCCCTTGGTCTATAAGCATCTAGAGCAGCCAGGACGGGCCAAGGTCAAGTATCCTCACGACCCTAAGCAGAGCAATAGCTCACGGCTCCACAAGACCCTGGGGTATGCAGCTGCTCACATAAAATGGCTCCTTTGAGTGTTGATATACACACGCAGGGATATTCGCTGTGGCCATTAAGAGGGCAGGGAGCAATTTTAAGAGCAAGAGAATCAAGACGTGAAACTGAGCATTTCTGTCCTGGGGGATTTGCTGCACCTCATGGTTCTCAGTCCACAGACACTCAAGAAAAATGCCAGCAGGCAATCAGCAGCTTGTCTTTTATAAGAAAAACATTCATCCACCTAATGGCAATGAAAAGCCAAGTTCTTGCTACACTGGCCATTCCACCAACGATCCCCAAACGGTGGCCCAAGGTCAGCCCCAGACTTGCCTGAATTCACGGTTAGAGGAAGCACCTTCTCTCTCCTCCCGCACCTGTCAAGCCGACCCATGTTCCCAGGCCTTCTAGATAGGTGTTCCCCCCAGCTAATCCACAGGGTGGTCTTCCTCTCGAGAAAGCAAGTAGTACTCACAGCTCCAATTGAGTCTAGAATCCCTATCTGCTTTGTGAGGTCGCTGTATTGCTATCTTACATTGCTATTTAATTTCCTGGGGGCATTCTCTAAGACTATACCATAATCTCCTTGTGGCAGTGATTCGAAAACTTGTCTGCACGTTGGAATCCCCTGGGGAGCTTCCAAAACACTCACGTCTGTGCCCCACACCTGGAGACTGTGATGGTCTGGGGTGTGGCCTGGGCTTTGGAATTTTTAAGAAATTCTCACGTGATTTTAACACGCAGACATGTTTAGGAAACTTTGCCTTAGAGAATCCTCTGGTATTCCCAGGGGGACTTAACACACGCTATGCACACATGTGCTAAAATAAATGTTTGTTGAACGAAGTAATGAATGACTATCTGGCTGTGGTCCAAATCATACAAAACTCCTAGAATTATAAATATGGGGGCCTTCAAGGGTCTCCCCCACCCTCTCTAACCTACCAACCTTCCACACTTACCTTCTTCCAGGAGTGTTGAAGCTTAAATGAAGGGTGGCCTAGACTCGTGGCTCTTGTACATTTTAGCTGTGACGTACTCAGTCAATGACCCTTTACTGAGTGCCTACTCTGGCTCAGACAGGATACAGACCCAGGCCCCCCATCCTCCCCAGGCCTCCCGCTTTCGGGTGGAATTGCAACCATCTATGTGCACCTGCATCCTGCAGCAGCTGTGCAATGCAGCAGGCAGAAAGCTGACCTCGGGCCCTCCCAGAAAATGCTGGGGACGCTCATTTCAGTCTATGAATATCACCACATAGGAGGTCTTAGTCGTGTGTGGAAATGAACCGTCTCTGGCATTGCAAGAAAATCTAAAGACGAAAAAAGCTGCATTTATAACCAGATCACAGGCATCAGAGAATAATCCCCACTGGACACAGAGGGACCTGAGGCACTGGCCTATAAACCTCGAGGGGGTGGGAGGACGAGGAAAGAGAAGAGAAAGGCTCCAACGCTCAGTGGCAAGTGGTCACCTTCCCTGGTGACCAAGATGTTCCCAAGCTGGGATTAACACTGCTCAGTGTTAAAAACAATTAGATGTAATTGTTTCTTTTATTTCTCCCTTGAGGGCCGAGACCAGTCTTCTAGGTTCTTTGTAACACCCCCAGCCTTATGTGATGCCATGAACACGATGGGTGTTAAATATTTATTGAACGAATAAAGGAGGAAATGCAGATTCCAATTATTGATGGCGACATCGGGAAGTACAGCAAGTCCTCTTAAATTCAAATACCAAAAATATGCTTTCCCATCTAACAAAGATATTTTGATGGGGCTGGTATTAATATTCAGAACTACAGAGTTTCCGAATCTGTTAGGAAATGCTATTATATTGTCCTCTTTTCAATCTCTAAAAATTGTCACATTGACTGCAACTATCTTCCTCCAGTTCATCCGAGGCAGTTTGGGGCAAAATTTAACATTATATGTCTGGGCTCATTAATGAAAATTACCATATGAAACAGATTCTCTTGGGCAGCATCTGACATCCCTGTATAAAGAAGGTTTATAGAAATAATACACAGGATTATAAACAGACTCCCTTTCTCTTAACTACAGAGTCACAGGATGAAAAATACAAAACTTCTTGTTAGAGAAAGATGAGGTCCACTGGGCAATGTGAACGGCCTAGTGTCAGGCACACGTGGCACTCATTAGAAGGAGCAGTTCATAGTCCACGATCCCACATACTCAAAACTAGACAATGACAAAAACAAAACTCCAGTGTTCCATCCACACTCGATTTCTCTTGCTCCTCTCTGCACCCATTCAACTCCAGATACAGGAACACCTCCTCCAGCCTCCCTGGAGCCCCCGTGGCCCATCAAACCCTGTCTGATTAACACCGGCTTCCCCGGCCTGCACCCAAGAGGTTCAGGGGGAGAAGGTGCACCCCAGGGAAGCACCTGACCCCTCCGCCTGTCCCCCCCCACCTTGTAACTCCCCACGAGTTCTCTGTCCCTATCCCGAAGTCTGAAAGGCTTCGTGTTTCTGACCCGGCACCTCTGAGGTCTACGCTCTCCACAGCCTCTGTGGCTCTGACCCTCGGCTTCCCCTCCAAAACCGCCCTGCATTCTCCTCAGGACTGATCCATCGTGGAGGGCGATCAGTCAGGCCTCAGACCCCCAGACTGTCCTCAAAGAGGAAACCGGCCAGATGACCGTGACGACTGTCCATTCGATTTGTTTAATGTCGGTCAGTCAGAGTGGAGTTTGGGGACTCATTCACCTGGACTGGCCATCTCAACTGATCAAGTCACAGGGAACTGCCAAATCTGCTTCAGCCACAGAGGGCACTCAGGAGCGAGCACACCGGGCCCGTGACGGGCTTGCTCCGGGGCCCTGGCTGGCCTGACCACAAGGCCAAGCCTCTTCCCCCTTGTGTTCTCCGCCAGGCAGGCAAGTGTGGAGAAAGAGCTTTGCAGCAGGAGTCAGCACCGGGGTTCAAGGCCAGTTTTGTCACCTAAAGCTGTGTGACCAAAGGTGCACGCGTAAGTGCTCTTACGGTTTGCAGGAATAACTCTGGCCCTGAAAATGCATTTCCAACTAACTAAATAAAAGCAATTTTTAAAATACCAAGCACCTCCGATTTCTAGCTTTTTCCTAATGTGTCCAGTTTCCTTCCTCCATCCTCTAGAAAGGCTGATTGACAACAGAACAGGAGTCTTCTCTATCTCCAACGGCAAGGCCCTCTCAGCCCCGGCTCTCACTCTGACGGCGCTCGCTGGCGTCCCTCTACTCCACCTTTCTTCTCTTTTTTGCACGCATACTTAGTCCCCATTCTGAAGAGGCCATCTTTTCAGCATTTTTGGTCTCTTTTCTTCTTCCTTTCAAGATGAAATTGTCCTGCCTAGAACTGCTACTCGAATTATTTCTTAAATAATCGTCTCTCGACTTTGTACTGCATATATAACCTCTAGTTTTCTCTAAAACAAGACTTTCCAAACAGTAGGTCATGAAATCAACTTAGTGAGTTATAATCAGCAATTTTTTTTCCTTTCTAACGAAATGGATGAAAAGAGAAGGGAAGAGATCAGAATACCTCTCACATGGCGAGGTTAAGTACTGTTCCTAAAAACTCTTTTAAGATGTAAACTACGTTTGCTGGGTCACTATGTAAAAGGTTTGAGAAACACGACTCTCTGGAAACCTGCTGGCCTCTGTAATATGATAGTAAATGTTCACAACCAACTATTTAAAAAAAAAAAGCCCTGATTTGCAGCATCTGCTGATTCCTGTGGTATAAATACTCCCACGTGGCCAATTTCAAGCTCCCAGCATGACATGGCTTTGGGAAGAGAGGCGCATGATCTGCTCTGGCGAGCTGATAAGAGCCAGCTCCCACACACACTGGATGGCCTCACCTCCCCTTAAATCCGAAGTCTCTCTCGGCTTCAATCTCTGGATTTGCTGCTCTCCCGGCCCTTGATTAGTGAAGACTCTAAACCCCCTCAGGATCACCAGACTCTTTGGGGTCTCCCAGTTTTCTGTGGGTGCTTTATTCACCTTTCTGGGCATTTCCCAAGGTTCAATCCTGCTCTTTGATTTGTCTCCTGTAGTCACTGACTTTAAGAATTCATCCATTCACAGATTCTCAGATAGCAGATCTGTTTGTAAAATCCTGAAATCCACATTTCTAACCCCAATTTCCCATCTGCTCCTCAGGCCTTTTCTTTGAGTGGTCTGAGGCTTCTCTGTAACTCTTCTCACTATGATAAACATTCCACAGATATCTGACAGCAATAAATTAAAGAATGAATTTATCCTTTTCTAGTGCTACTATTTTTAATTTGTTGCCTACGAATAACCACACAGTAAGAGCTACAAATACACGAGTGCAAAAACCAACCAAGAGGAGTGGTTCTGATCAGTGTTCTGATCGAGATGAGCAGAGTTTTTATATTTATAGTAGGAATAAAGAGCAAGTATTCCAAA